TTGAGAGCTGTGTTGACCCAAAGCAATTGCTGCTGGCAGGGAGGGGAGGAATGGGCGCCTCTGGCAGTGGCGGCCCGAGTTTGCCTTGAAGGGGGCAGAGTGGACATGGCTGTGTAAGAGCGGTTCCCAGCTGGTGTGCAGTTATGGAGGAGCTGCCTGCAGCTGGCCCCATCCAGGGTCACCTCAAGTTGCTCTGCTTTATCCCATCATGCCAGAATGGGGTTGCTTGAGAGACAGAGAGAGTGAGAAGTGCGCTGTAATGTCTGGTGAAGGCACATCCAAGGAGTTTACCTCATACTTCTGCTTCTCTATGCCTCTGCTTTGGGTCTGCTTTGCTCTTTTGCAACAAAAGCTGAAGAGCCTTGTTTTTCTCTTCTCTTTGCTTGTCCTGGAATGAACCAGCTGGAGTAATTAGTACTTCCCAAGTTTTTTTCCAAAATTCAAATTGAAATAAGGTTTCTGTGATTTGAAAGAAATGTGAATGTTTCCTATAATTTCATTTGCAAGCATCTATACCAAGGAAGAATGAAAATAGCTCCCATGGACTTGAAGTGCTTGGTGAAAAAATTCTCCAGAGAAAGTACTGGGAAGGCTGGAAAAAACCAGATCTGCATAAGTGTTCTAGCTCTTAATATATGCTATTTGAGCCTTCTCGTTCCAGGTTGCAGATCATGCACCAACTCTGTCCAGGTGGTCTCTAGGAAATAAGAACAAAAGTCAGTTTTTTCCTGGTAACTTGCAGAGTAAGAGTAGGGCTCCCCACACTAATTACAATGCTGTGTGCACGAAGTCTTTTCCATGTCACTGATCTTGCAACAAAACCAAAAGTTCTTTCAAAGGTAACAATATGTGGACATCTAGAGCTGTCCAGATCTTTTCCCAACAAAACACCTTCTTCTCTAAAGCTGATCAGAATGAAACAAAATGTAGGACAAAGGGTCAGCTTTGATCTGATAGAGGTGAGAAAGGCTTGCTGAGGAAATGGGCCCCTTTTTAAGGAGACCCTTCTAAAGGTTTGACACGCAGCCTGCCTCAGGCCAGTCTGCTTGGGAGCTGCTGTAGTGAAGAGCCTGGGAGCCTCACTTGGAGCCAGGAGGTCTCAGGGCTTCCATGTCTCTGCTGGTGAGTCTGCAGGCTTGGCCTTAACTTCCTGAGGCCACAGGATTGTTGGGCTGCCAGCTGCTGGGCTGAGAGCAAAAGAAAGGATTTCACAGTCTTCCAGAAGACTGTGTTGCTTGGTGAATCTCAATTTGAAAGTCTGTGCATGAAAGAAGCATTTTCATTAAAATAAAAATAAAGGAATTAATCATTCTGCCTTGAACTTAGCATTAATAAAAACTGGAAAGATGGTGAAGTTAATGCCAGCTAGGAGTACAGTGCCAGATTTTCAATTTTGGATCCTCGTTATCTAAACATTCTGAACAATTCTGTCAAAAACACTCAAGTGATTACATTTAATTTATTTAATTCCTTTCCTCCTCAGACTTCAGCTCTTACAAGTCTGGAGAAATGTTGACTTTTTCCAGCAGAAGATCAGACCTGTTTTAGGGTTCATAAAAACATTACTTAAAAAAATCAACTATTTATTTTGAAAACCCCGTATATCTAGTTTGAACTTCTGTTCAGATGTTTTTCTGTCATTCTTCTTGTTGTCCAATGAAAATGAAAATTAAGTAGAAAAAACTTTTTAATGTCTGAAAGTGACCAATGTAAATCCTTAATATCAGTCATGTTAAAGATCAGAATTCTGTACATTAAAATTACACAAAATTAAAAGCAGACCAGTATTGTCATGATGACTGATACACAGTTGTCTCTGTTAGTGGCAGATAAGGAAAGTGTATAATAATAGTTGTTTTTTTCCTCCTCTTTCTAAGTGGAACTTAAATTATTTCCCTGAGCTCTGCCAGGGCAGTTTCGGGTGATGTAAAAATGCCATATTTTGTCCAGTTTAACTGTAAAATCTGGGATCTTCAGCACTTGAAAAGCTGACATATCCCTGTCTGTGGAAGTAGAGGCTCAGCTGCAGTTCAGCAGTTTTGGCCCAAATAATCCTTGTGTCTTAGCTGGAGTATTTGCTTTCATGTCAAGAGCCATGCTGCCACCACTCAAACCTTTCAGGGTTTTTTTTTGGTTTTTTGGGTTTTTTTTTGTTTGTTTGTTTTTTGAGCTGAGAAACTTTTATGCATTTTTCTCTTGCTGGAATAGTTTAGTTTCTGAGTTCTGCATATGTGCAGTTGTAAAGAAATCAAATATTACAGCTGGAAACTGTGAGATCAGCCTTGTCACTGCTCCGGCCTCCCATTTACCGTGAAAACAAACACAGCTCTCTTCTCATGTCTGCCAGCAGGAAGGGGGTGGGGAGGCAGACAGAAAGGCAGAGGAAAGTTTTTTCTTCAAAAAGGAAGAAGGTCAACTATTTTGGGAAACCAAAAGCTCTCAGCAATTAGGAGAATTCTTTTCTCTGCTCAGTGATTAGAGAAGTCTGCAGGCAAGCAGCAATTGCTGCAAACAGTAGAGTCTTGAAGATGGATGATGATTCCCTTTGCCTTTGCAGAGGATGAAGTGAATAATGCAACATATTTTGTTGTGCCAACAGTTAAATCTTGACATGGAATCCATAAATCTTTGTGCTGGGTAAATCACTTCAGGTACAGTCAATCAGCTGATGTGCTGAAGGCAAGGACTGCGTGACTGATTTCTACCGCCTGCTTTTGACATCTCTGTGGGACTCGCTGTGTTTCTTAAGGCTGTATCCTCCTAAGATAGGAAAAGAAACAGACCTTGGAGAAATTCTTACCCACAAGATGCAAAACAATGAAAAATTTTAATTCAAAACTTGAAAAAAGTTAAATTCTAAAGCTGGGAAGTGCTGTTATTGCCTGAAGAAACTGCAGAATAACTTTTTAATGAGGCTTTGTTTTGGAGCCCTTGAGTTAGCCCCACATGTCTTACCATGAGTTCAGTGTCTCTGCACTCTTCTGGCAAGCAGACCCTCAAAAGAGAAAATTACAGACATGTTCCTCATTACTCTCTTGAATGTGTTTGTGAGTGTCCTTAATTTCTTTAGATTTCACGTCATTCCAATCAATAGTTAGAAAGTAAGTACAGAGAAGAATCTGAAAAGCATATTTTTGATATTACTTATTAAGTCATGTGGTCTTCTGTTCTGCTAGTTTTCATGCAATGACAATTCCCTTATAATTGTAAGATGTTTTCCCAAAGCCTGATACTTTTTGTTTAATAGTTTTTTTCCTCTATAGACGCATTGCTTTTCTTTGCCTAGAGTTGTAATTTGCTCTCTTCATTCTTAGTGTTTACATTTCAAATACTACCAGGCTGCTATTTACGGTCCTTTCTCTGAGACCTCTTAGATGTGCCAGAAATATGTTTATACAGAAAATTCAATACTAATCTATTACAAAGCATTGCTTGGCTCAGAAACTGCACTAATTTTCTTCATATGGTTCTGGTAATTTGATGCTCAGCTGACTGTAGTATTCCATGTAGGATCATATGGGAACTGTATTAGCTGTTAAAATGTCCAGTCTGCACTATCTCCAGATGCATATGTGCATTCAACACAGAGTTGTATTGATCTTTGCAGCTGTGTTGCAAGCTGTTGTTTATTGCCTGTCTGCAATCCCTCCTAGGTGTCCTTTGTTCTTCATTCCTTGAGTTTTTCATCTGATTGTGGGCATACGTGAGGACATTCTTCCAGATGGAGTCAACCTTTGTGCAGTCTTCTAGTGGCTGTGCCTGTTTTTGTTCACTAGTATCTGTGGAAAGAATGTTTCCACTTCCCCACATCCTTTAGGAAGAACTATAACACAGAACAAACTTGGTTTTCCTCCCCTCCATACTTTCAATGAGGTTTTAGCAGAATATCTAGTGAAGAAATTCAGATCATGCTGCTCAAATTATCTTTCCCCTGGATGCCAGAACTGGGTGCCTCCATGTAGGCACATTCTGGAGGGCACAGAGTCCACAACACCAGTAGGGACTTCATAGCATTTGTCTTAACTGGAGCTCCTCTTGCAGCATTTGTGAGTTTCTCAGCCCCTTGAATAACTATTTCCTTTCTCCATCTCAAAGATAAAGTAATTCCTACTCAGAATGCACTCTGATTGAGCTTTGTGATGTCCTCTCTATTTCTCAGAAATACTGTGCCTGTTCACTGGCTTTACAGGCAGCTAATGCTGTGTTTGGAGAGGAGCACTGTGAGGAAGGGCCAGAAAGAATCCTGAGGGAAAGATCCTTTCCTAGTGTTGGGTGTGCATAGTCTTCTCAGGCATAATCTGTAGTAGCCTTTTCTTCCCCAATTGACATTGTTATAACCTTAATTCCTGTTTCGGACTTGTGTTAAGTGAAAGATTTCTTTTGCTACAGATTTTGTTATAACATTTCCAACCTTTTCAGACCATGTTGAGATAACATTTGCAACACCATTGTGTTAAAAGTTGTTTTTATGTTTTATTGTTTCCATTAAATATTTAAACATATATTGCATTTAAATTTTATTTTTTTAATTAAAAATTCATGTGTCTTCTGGAACATTTTGTTACCAGTAGTAACATAGAATGGAGAGAGCAAAAGAAGTATTTAGGACATCTGATGTGTCCATCTTCTGAGGTGGCTGTTTCATTTCTGTCAGGTCTCTTGGATATCACATACCCTCATTGCAGAGAGCTAGAATACTTTGAATGCTACTAGGAGGGAAAGAGGAGGGGGAGATTTTAGTCAACAGTCAGAAAGTTGCCTCAGGTCTTTCATCTGACAATGCTTGTGCCTCTCCTGTGCTGATCACAAGATCATTAGATTAAATAGGAAGACAGTTAATGAGGCTGATACTAGTTACAAAATTTTCTGCCACATGTTGAGATTACTGTGCATTTGTCAATTCCTACATAATGAGTTTAAATTGCCAGTTCATTGGTATGCATAATTATTCTGCTTTAAGATAATTCTCTTATTTTTTGGGTATCTTTGTGGATGGGACTGGTACTTTCTGTATCTAGGAGTACAAATGGCCAAAGTACTGCCCTGGAGTACTACTGGAAGACCTTGGAGAAGATCTAGCCAAAGGTATAAAAATGGCTATTATTAAAACCCAAAACATTTATTCTTTCATTGCTCATCCTCTCTTCTCAGATGTCATCCTATGAATGCAGTATGACACATCAAAAAAACCCAGTGAAGCTGTCCAACAAATATTTCTTCACAGTAGGTGCATGATTCATGAGGTGGTGTTCTGCCAGCATACGGACATGGTTTTTTGTCCTGTTTATTATTAACTACTTGGAATCTTATAATCTTCCCTAATATTGCACTTCTGCAGTGTTTATTTTGGATAATACAGATTTTTCTTTATTTTAGATGCTATAAACAATGCAGTATCATGAATCACTATGCCATAGGGATCAGTATAATTTTTAATAGAAGTCACTGGCATCCATAATTTTTTTTCTCACTTATGGGTGGAAATTTAGTGCAGGTTTTCTTATCATGGCCTAGGAAGGTTTGTGAGGTAAGTGTAAGATGGCTCAATCATAAGTGGAGTGCTAAGTAGTGAAGGTAAAATGCATTTCACCTACAGTTAATGGTCTAAATTTGACTTTAGATGCCTATGAGTAATTTTCTTTTTTAGCTTTCTTTTTTCATTAATAGAAAAAAACCTGTGTCCAGAGAGCGATTCATCTGAACTGTGTAAGCTACCTAAATTAAGATGGAATTATTCATCTCTGGAAGCCCCTAATGTTTTTCTGATGAATAGGATGCAGGAATCCTAGATGAGATTTAGAGGTTATACCAAGATTTTACATAGGTAAAAGCATATGGGACAAGTCTGCCAACAAAGACAGCTGTAGCATTCAAACAAATATCAACTCTACTGTTCAAATACCTTCTACTACTTTGACTCATTGAGTGAGACTTAAAGAGGAATGAACTGACATATACCACTGGCATATTTTTTAGCACATATTTCTGAGGAGTGTAGAAGGATTTAATTAAAGATATGGCTCTGAATGAAAAAGAAGTCTCGATTCAACAGAAGTACAAACACAACTACGCCTTATAACTCATTGGCTAGTTACACAAAATGAATGTGATTGACTTGGTGATAGTTCTTGTACTGCTGCGTGCAGAATGTGCAGAAACTTTAGAAGACATTTTAGGGAAAATTTCTGGTTTGGAAAACAAGACTGAAACTTTACCAGGCAATGGGAGAATGCTGTGCTATGCATCTACCCTGATGAAAATCTGTGCAGCCAACCTTAATGGATGGTGCTGAAGAACCAAGTGGAGCAAACTGGTGAAAATAGCTACATTCACTGCTTGCACAACAGTGCTTTCCACCAGTCATCCAGCTTTCTGAAATCAATTATCCTTTTTGGCTGTAGGACAATGTTTTCTGAAACTGAAGTTAGACTTTATGAACATGTTCTAATCATGTTTTGATGATTAGGTACTGAAATAAATTATCTTCCTTCAGTAACAATTTTACAAGTGTCCAGGTTCCTGTCTCTCTATGACTGCTGCTGAAGTCAATGGTACCAGTCAGAAAGTTGTTTCTTGCAAAGGGTTTATTTCAGAACATTGTTTTTCACCCTGGTTTATAAAGTCATAACTTGCTTTCTTGCTCATGTGAACTTCTAAATTGGTTAATTTCTTCCATAGGAGTATTTTAAAAGCCCAAATGGTCTCATTCTCTTCTCACTTCAGAGCAATGTTGACATGATTTCTGTTTGGAAGTAGTGCCAATGCCACTAGGCCTAGGAAGATCATCATAGGCTTTGTTCAAATTCAGGCAAATTCAAGCATATCAGGCAAGATTTCAAGTATTAGTTAACATTATATTATAACTCTTGCAGCTAATCAACAATTTGTTCAAAATATACTCCAGAACTTGTATTTGGGACTTGAAGAATTTGTTGGTCATACTCAATTACTGTGTTTTGTGTTTTCTTTTGCTTTACAAAGACAACAAATTCTTTAGCAAATTGCTGTTTTATGTAGATTCATTGGCATTATTTTGCAAAGCCTATGCAACATAATGAGTCATTAAGATTTCAAAGTTTAATACACTGGAGGGAGAAAATTAGCTAAATTATATAAGACCTTGGAGCAATAACTATTTTATTTTCCTTATGCTGTTCAATGACTGTAAATTGCAAACCAGGATTCCTATTCTTATGCAGCTGCTGCTTTTACATGTTTCATTCACAATGCTTTTTCATGAAGCAGCAAGCTGACACTTGCCACGTTTTCAATTCAGTTTTCTCAGAGCTCTAGATTGGAATGGCATAGGCTATGAGGAGTGTTTAAATCTGTGAACTATGTTTGATTTCTGTAGGCATTGGTCCAAAATCAGTATAACTCTGTGTTGTTTTGATCTGAAAAAATGCAAAGCATTTTTAAGAGAGTTTGGTGCCTATTTTACAGATATAAAAACTTAAGTAGGTCTTGTATAGCCTTGTGCCCTACAGTTAGTTAAACAGCATTGCCTGATTTTCACTGGGAACTCATGGAAACCGGACTTGTGAGGTTTTTGAAGTGGTTGTGGGATTTGAGGTCTGAATCATAATAGGCAGTTCTTGTTTTCTGTTTAATTTCTAAGGTATTCTTATAACTAGATCTTAAACCTGTAGCACTTGACTGCTGTTGCTGATTTTCTCATTGATTTGGAAAAATGGGCAATGTTTCTCTGGCTCAAAGTGGTATAAATGAATTTATGTTAGCTTCACTACAAGAATTAACTAACGTTTGGAGCTACTAAAGTGAAAAGAACCTTGATTATAATTTATCCATCCATGTTTGATATTAGTAACTTTTAAGTGTTCTTTCTACTGAAACAAAGGGTAATCTTCCTCCACACATACAGATTGAGACTTGTTAGACCACAAATTAATGGAGCAGAAGTACTTGTGATCTTTGGCTAACAGAACTGAGGAATGAATTTTTAAAAACAACTGTTCCTGATAACTTTTATTCCCTTCTTTCCAGAATTTATCATTTCAACCCGAGGAAAATAGAATTGACAAATCAACAAAATCCCTGAAATTTAAGGTAAAACAAAGAAAATAATTCTTTGTACATGTAAGGTAATTATTTGAAAATTGACTGTGTCTGATAGAATTATTCTGATAGAATAATAGAACTTTCTCTTCCTGTATTAGAAATAGCTTTTAAATTCTTCAGTTTTCATCTCCTTTATTTCAACATATGTGATGAAATGCATTGAGATTTATGTATGGATATTTTATCAGTCAATCTAATTGTGATTTGAAGGTTCCTATCAGTATACTTTTCCAGTACCTTACAAATCTTCACTTTAAAACTAAATACATTTTGCCCAGATATCCTGATTCCAAGTGTCTGTGTTGAAGTCTGATGAAAGACATGGGAATCTTTTACTTTGGTATCAAACATCCCAAATATTCTTTGGCCTAAATTTTGTATTTACTTAGACATAACGATATAAATAAATTTTCATTCTTTCTTAAAGAATGAGCAGTTTGTTAAGTATATTATCCATTACACTTGAAACAGAATGATAAGGAAGCACAATTTAATAGTGTTTTGAGTTCGAGCCTCTACTTTGACAAGGTATTTGGTACAGATATTTTACACTAATTCTAACTCAATTGCAATTTTATTTAAATTTATTTCTTCTATTTAAATTTGACCAAGAAAGTAGATTTTTGTTATTTACCTGATGAAATATATTGACTGATATGAATATATTCATGTACTGGCATAAAACTCCCAATGATCCAGACTGAAAGACCTGTCCTGCATTATTTCCTCTTTATGCACTCTAATTTAGATCCCTTAAATACTTACATGCTCTTATCCAAATGCCTGATTGATTTTAATGATATAAAAGTGGCAGAGTGGCTGCAAATGAAATTCCTCACTCAGGAAATGACCCAATAATTATTTCTGTGAAAAATTGCTGAATTTTCCTGAAAAGCACTCCAAATTATTTCATCAGGAGTAAACACATTTCTGGGAGAAAGACTGCTCTGAAATGTAGGTCTTTACTCTCAAAATTAAGTCAGAAAAGCTATTCTGTCAATACTGCATTGTGATTACTGTATTTTGATTGTAAACCCAGTGTTTCTTTTGCACTTGCCAAAGAAATGAGGTTTTTCCAAATGATAAGCAAGGAAAAGTAGCTTGTTTCAGAGGTATAGGAGGCACAAAACAATGTTTCCTCCTCGATTTCTCTTTTCCTCTAGCAAAAGCCAGTGAAGGGGCTTAGGGAAGAGTCCCCTTAAGAAAAAAGCAGACATTGTTGTGAGGGAGGGAGAAGAGATTGAGGGAAAGCACAAAGTGCTGCCATTGGAGAGGGCCAAGACAGCTGAATCAGGGTGATAGAGGCTTTTCATTATCAGAAACAATTGCTCCAGCAAGAACAGCATGGGAGTTCATGAAATGTTTTTGAACTCGGATTCCTGATAGGAGCTCATTACATAACTTGTGCTTTGTGAGTGCTGGCAACTGGCAACTTACAGAAAGACACAGCCAGAAGCAATGTGCTCAGCTGCTTGCTTTAAAAAAAAAAAATCACCTATATCTGGGCCAAGCATTAAACAGACAAGCCTATCTTTACCCCTCCCCCTGCCCCCTTCATCAACAGAAGTCTGGTTTTCATCACAGATTAATAAACAAAACCTTCCATCATTTTTCTCTGCTTCCCACAGCCTTTTGGTAGGAGTTAACAAAGCTCCAAGTCAACATTGCCACAGTGCTTGAAATGTCTTTGCATGTTTGTGCACTTGAAAGAGTTGTGGCGATAGGATTAGAGAAAGGCTTTTAATCCATCAGTGCCTATAACCTCAAAAACTTTGGGATGGTTTTGATCACATTTGGTTTGACAAAAATCTGTTGAACTGTCTTGCTCATTGTGTTTTATAATAACAATAATTTTTTAAAAAAGAGCCTGTGTTATATATTCAACTGTCTCCAGAAGTGATTATTTGTATCATATGCTGTTAAGGAAATAAGTTTAAATGCTGAGGAATTCCAATTAAGCAGTCTCAGCTGGAACAAATAGCCGTAGGATTTCACAATACTGTTCTGAAATTATTGGCAGGCTCAGAAGCTGGGGAAATTCTTGAATTTTGGGGTTTTACCATGGTGGACATAGCCACTAAATCTTATTTGTTTTCAAATCAGTGGGTGTGTAGACCGTGTGATTTCACAATTGCTGTCAGAGGTTGTTCCTCTTTCTTACTTTCTCTTCCATCTGCCCCAAAAAAAGAAGAAATTTTAGCCAAACAAGCAGAAACTCTTCCACATTTCTAAGAGAGATGTTTATGGGACTAAACGCCATAGAACTTCCTTGGGTTCAGGTGGTTAATTTATAAGAAAAAGCTTTGGTTGTTTTCCTTGGAGGTAGAGGCAATTCTGCTGAGCCCTTGAGGGGAACCGCATTGTAGGTATTTACTGAATCTGTGAAAGTTTAGCAGTAAAATCACCAATTAAGTTCTGCTCTAATATATATTTTTCTGTGTAATATGCTCATCAAAAAAACAAGTTTAAACTTTTCTGTGTTGTGTAACTCTAATTCCATGTTTATATGATAAACACTTCTCTGTTTTGCTTTCCAAGGGCCATCACTCCCTGCCTGCCTAATCTACTGTTGCTAACAAGAATGACAGTAACAAACCAGAGAGGAACAGCCTTCCCTGGCCCTTTGCTTGCATTCTGCCAGGTGAACACATGTATTTTTTGCCCCCTTTTTGCCTTTCCTCTCTTCTCCTTTCAGAGAAAGGAAACCATTTTTATGTTGTGCTAAGGAAAAGTGATTGAAAAGTGGAAGCCCATAGTTTTCTCTTCAGCAAGCGGAGATCTGTTTTCAGTCTGATGTTTGGTGAAAGGAAGCTTCAGAGCTGCAGGCCGGCTGCCAGGAATGTCTGATTTCCTTTCCACCCACTCCTATGATCCTCCCTTTTGGCAGTGATTACTGATGACCACAGCTGTCATGCTAGGTCATGGTAAGCTGTCAAGCAAGGTAGTACATGAGATATATGAGGCCCAGTCCTTGATCTGAAGAACAAGATCTTAAATTGAATCTGGTATCAGCCAGCATGTGAACATACCACAGCAAGAAGTGCTGGGCTGATGTCAACTTGTTGTTCTGGTTCCTGAGGAGATGGGCAAGCTGTAGGTACTTTTCTAACCTTTGCACAGCTCCTGATATCCTGAAGCATGAGGAGGGGTTGTAATTTAGTCAGGGCAGACGATTGTCAGGAATGGGCAAGTCCTTCCAGCCAGCTGAAATGAGAAATAAGCACTTTGCATGGCTCTCACCCAATGAGTGTGTAATGATAGAGGCCAAACTCCATAATTAGGGATCAGAACAACAGCATTCAGGTGGTTGTGCTGTGTACAGCACTTGTGGGTGACCGACTGTTGACATTATGGATGTGACTGAAAATCAGCACAGAAATGCAGACTTAAGAAAATGATGGATACTTTTGTCAGGGACATAACTTCTATAAATAGGACTTGCACTCTGCGTAAGGCAGTATTTTGTTAAGCTTCGTGTGTTCAGTGCCAAGTGCATAAATATCTTCTGAAGGGGTAATATTTTACTATGTTTTATGCTGTTATGCTGGGTTCAGAATGCACTTTTTGCTGTAGCATCTGTTCTTCTTCTAGTGGCATATTAAATAACGTGACTAAAGTCCATTAGGTGTTTTCTCTGTATGCCTTCCTCTGGAGGGGGAGGCATTTGTGATGAAGTGTTTGTTTTTAAAACATTAAAGAAAAGGTTGCTTTCTGTTTCCCAGAGAAAAAAAGGTCAACACTAGAGGGACAGAAGGTCATAAGTGCTGTGATTGTCCATTGTTTTTGTGGGAGTTTATTGCTGCTTTAGGCTGGCACAGCCAAGGAACTTGCCTTCAAAATAGCGTCAGGGTATGTGTAAGTAGGTGATGCTGATTTCCTTTGGTTCACATTTAAAATGACGGGGTCCGATACCTGTGGTCTTGCTCCAGTTGCAGGAGGATGACCTTAGTGAGTTCCATGTGAATTTCATTTGGTATGATTTACTCGAGAACAGCAGACATAATTTCAGCCCTTTTGCTCCTTGTTCTCACAAAACACCTATGGCCTTCGAACAAATCTTACATAAAATTGAATTTGACTTTATGAAGCTCTTACACAAGGTTGGTAGAAAATTCCAGGAACCATTTGGACAAGAGCCAGTTTCTTTACTGATTTCTCCTAGCCAAAAAAGGAAACTAATGACTGCTTTCACAAGGCAGGGGAATCCACAGCTACAGCTAAGAGGGGTAAAAAAAATGTCATAAATAAACAAGTCCGTCCACAAACCCTTCCTCAGGAAACCAGCATGGGAAGCACAGACATTTAGAATGACAATCCAGCAGGTTTTGCCAAAGAGAGACTTTCCAAAACAGCTGTAGCAATGGTTGCAGTTTCCTTGAGCGTCCCTTTTAACAGCATTATAGCCTCAACTGTTTATATGTTAATCTAATTGTTTTCTTGCTGTCAGCTGTATTTATTGCCATAATATAAAGCTGTTAACCTTCATAAGTAACCCTTGAGAGGGAGTGACAGGCTTCAATAAATGCTGCTGTCTATGAACCCAGTTACCTTTCAGCCCCTGTTCAGTCAGTACAGTCAGGTACAGTCAGTTTTGAGGCTGGGACTGAAGCTGGTGTTCCATGTCCCTGTAGGATACCAAATGCTTCATTTGTTCAGAAAACTTTTCTTAACTGTCCCATGTCTGGAGCACTCAGGAGTGAATATGCTTCCTCTCTTTGAATAATGGTTGAACTCCCTGTGGAAGAGGAGGTATTTAAATAACCGTGTTGCCATGTAGAGTATCTCATGATTTCAATCCTCAGAGTCCCTGAGCTATCTGAGCACATATTTATAATCAGCTTGGTGAATGCTCTCTCTGGCTATTTATCAGCTGTGAGCCTGTGTTTCCATTTTACAAGTGCAACTCTATAGCTTAAGAATATGGTATGTCCAGTCGTTAGCAGAATTTTAATTTTTTTTTGTCTCTGAGAATAGAAAGTTCCCAGCATAGGACAAACCTTCTTTGTGTAACAAATACACATATACGTTTTTCTCTTTGCTTTGCTGACTTGGACTCTGGGACATAGCTGCTGAGACACAAAAGGATTTCTGTCTGGCCCTCATTGCCATGTTAGAGGGTTTAACTCTAAATATATTTGCAACTGGCAGGATCTGTATCCATACTGTTGAACTCTTCCACACTTAAAATTCCCAAATTGACTTTTGGAAGCAGTCTCTGGCCTATGCTAACTAAATTGTGAGCTGTGTCTAGGAATTATATGCAACCTGGCACTCTCCCAAATGCTAGCTGACCCACACTACATCTGTGTCAGGGCTGCTCCACCCCTTTGATAGGAAAGACATTTGACATTGCTTAACCTACAAGGCCATGTAGAGTTCTTAGCCATAAACAAGCTCGTCTGTACTGGGTTAGGGAGAGACTCAAGCCCCTTAAGTGAGACTCAGATGCCTACTAAATTTCAGTTCAAGTTGAAAGTTTGCAAGGCTATCTGTAGTCATCATGGCTTCTGAAAGCCCAGAGACACAATTTTGTAAATAATTTCTTTTAAGGTAGTATTCAAAGTACTTAAGTACTCAGAAGTAATAGCATTTTGGCAAGATTGAATGTCCTGGCATGGTGAAAGCATCATCAGAAGTCACAAATGGGCTTTCCTGATTTGAAATCTCCTGAAGGTTTGGGTTTGGTAGATCTGTTCATGGTGATAGAGGTGGTTTGAGCACAGAAATGAGCAGCTGTGGCTGCCTCCATTTAGGGATGTGGATAGTGCTGGTGGTGCAACGCTGAGAGCTGCCACCCAAATGTTCAGAGCTGTATCTTTCACCTCAGATAAGAACAACTGAGGCTTACCTGGAAGAACTCTGGGTTTTTCTGCTGAGTGAGGTATATATGGATTTGGGATCCTAAGAGCACTGTGGGTGTAAGGTTCTGATTGCCTGTTTCCTTCAGAAGTCTTCTGTCCTCTGTGCTAAACTTTAAAGTCAATGGTGATATTAACACTGGCTTTTTGGAACAAAGAAGTGAAATTGAACTGAACATCCTCACCCAAAGGGATGTGAGAAAGCCCTGAACACAGAAAGGGTTGATAAGTATTTCCTGTGATGAGCAGTGAGTTTAAAGACTATTTGTGGCTGGAAGAAATTATGATTTCCTGACACACTCCTCCACTTAGTGTTTCCTTCAGCAGCTTGGCCAGCTGAGTCAGCCCCTGGCTGCTGGGAACCCCATCCTCATGGCTCCTGTGTGGTCACACAGGCATGGCCACCTGGGCTGAGATTTGCCAGCCTGCCCTGGCAGCTATGCCTCGCAGCAGAAGTGAACTTAACATCACCATGAGTCCCACTGAAGTGCAGGCAGCACTGACCCAGGGAAATTGAGGGCAGGTGTCTGGTGTCCTCAGGAGTGCCTGGATCATGAGGCTGTATGCTCCAGGGTACATCATGTTGCTGTAGATAAAAAATGGTGCTTTGAAGTGACAGTGGTTTTGTCTGTCTCAGTTGAACTTGTGCTAGCAAACAAGGAAATTCCAGAAAAATGCTGCAGAGACCTTCATGTTCTCCATCTATTGACCTTGAATGAGAATCACCCAAGCCTTGCAGCAAAACTCTGCATTTTACTTATTTTGTCAGCCAGCCTTCTCCTTATAATTGAGCTCTGTTTGTATCTCATATTTATTACTGGGTAACCATCTGCTTCAAAACTGCCTTTAGACTAAGACTGCTCTCTTGGTCAAAGCTTATATCCTGTTGTCACCAGCAATTCCACTGAATATCAGGGAATGCTGAAGACACACTTTTTCAAGGCTGTAAACTGACTTGTGTTAGATAATTGGAAATGAGAATCAATACTCAGTTTCAAACGTTGAAATTTACAGTTTTAAAACAAATCTTCTCACTTCCAGAAAAATATTTTATGTGGGAGGAGTCTGAACAGAAAATTGTGCTTAAGAACAACGTAAACTGTTGTGAAATGTGAATTGACTCAGAATTTTTACAGATGGGCTAAAAGATTGAAGAGAAAGACCAACTGTTAAAAGTGAATAAAATTTTAATTGTTTGCTATTCAAATGGGAGTTAACTGAAGTGAAATGGATATAAACTTCTGTTCAGACCTACTTCAGCTGGTTCACATCCTATCCTAACTATGATAGGACATGAACCAGCTTAAAGAGAAAATAATTTAACACTTTGTGAAGAAAAGGATTGTGCTAGGTTGAAGGACTGGATTAGAAATGACTGGATTCCACATGAAGGAGTCATCAGTCATGAAGTTTTATGTTTTGTGCGTGCTCTCCGGAGAGCAGGCAGATCTAATCTGTGAGGAGCTGCCTGCTGACTCAGGCTGCTGCGGGAAGGCGTTGAAGGACAGCCAGGGAAATCTCTGACCTTCACTTTGCCGCTGATCGTCACTTGGGGTTTTCCTGCCTGGAAAGGTGGCACTGCCTTGGGGTAGCTGGGGAGGAAACAGAGACCAGAACCATTGACCTCAATCTCAACAGAATACAGAAAAAGACAATAAACTCCAGGAGGAAAAACACAGCATTGATTTACCTAGGAGGAAGTGAGAATATTAAATTCTTTCAAGTAACTTCAGGACGTGTAATAGAGGAAATCTATTGAAAACACACAGAGTAGACATCTGTC